TACAAGATCAGAGTGGAGATTATTATGCTTTTCTGCAATAATATAGCTCAAGTTTAAAGAAAAATGAGCAGATGTATGGAAGTGTGCTGGCTAATTTGGAGTCTCGATTCAACATGCCTGGGATATACCATTTCAGTGTAACACCTAACTTTCCCCTACTCTTTCTAACTTCTACATTCGTTTATTGAGTTTTCCAGATGAGACAGCTACTTGACACAGGTTAAATTATTTTTAGAGAACTTGGAAATCATTCCAAGAGTTAGTGGCAAGAATGGCATTTCCTTTGTTAGAAATAGCAAAGAGGGTTTGGCCTCTCCCGGGCCTCTTTCACCTTGGTTTCTCTAGGACCTGGTAATACAGATGTAGCAAGAATTTAAAAGAGCATTTGATGAAGTGAACAAATAATAGCAACTGTCTACACTCTAGGAGTTATATATGCAATTCAGTTGAAATAACTTTTCTTGGGTCTGTAATAGAAAAAAAAGTCAAAGTAGCTGAGGCTTTAAAATAGATTTAAGAGTCATTCCAAAGCTTTGCCTCATTTAGCTAATTATGTGAAAACTGTGTTCTATTTTTTTCTGCTTATGTTTTCCTTTTTATAAATTAAAAAACTTAGATAAAGTGTAAGATATGCATTTAAAAGTCATAGATGCCTCTTTATGTTCTTCCAAATATTTAGACTCTTTTATCTCTAAATCTTATATCAAGATTATATGAAACACCATTTAATCATTCTTCATTTTAATGTTTGTGTGCAAACAGCTCTAATTTTGAAGAATATTAATTAATTCAAGTAACATATATTAACAAACTAGATATTTTTCTTCCAATAGAAGTCTTTAAAATATATAAAATGTTTTCATATGAATGCCTCCACTTTAAAAGGATATAAGAAAATGTATTATATATAATTTTATTGCTCAGGCTTCATGAGAAAAATTCAGCAATAGTTCACAGACAAAATGATTCAGAACTGGATATTTAGTGCTTAAGTGTTGACAACATTGGTCTCTTGAAACGTAGAGTATTGGCTTGTGAATAAAATTCCATATGTGAGATTTGGATAAATTTGGGGGACGGCATTCAACATGTGTTTGATGAATAGTGGGACCCATGACAGATTAGAAATCTAAATGGTCAATTGATCATATTTCAGATAGTTTATTAATTGAAAAATGCCTTCATTCGTGTCAATTTTTAACCATTGCCTATAGAGAAATTTTCTGCTTTTTAACTCTACCTTGAATTCACTAAATAATTTTAAAATTTGTAGTGCCTGTTGTACTAGGTACTGTTTTAGGCATGAAAAAAGTAGCAGTGAACAAGATGGATGTGTTCTCTGCCTTCGTAAACTTGCAGTCAAGAGACTGTGTTAGCCAACAAGAGCAATGTTTTTAAATATTTCTAGCTGTGTAGTCAGTTTTATAGCTCATCAATCCTTTTATAGTTCATGAATCCTTTCCTAAGTGTCTTTCTCACAAATTTGTTAATTCTCCTATGTTAATGCACACTTCGATAAATCAAATATATTTTAGCTAACCTTAAATTCGCATAGCAGGTTTTACTCTTAGTGGTGTGGTAGAAATTAAATTTTTTTTAAAAAACTCGTGAAATACCATTTCGCATTTATAGAAAGCTGTATTATTCTTTGCAATGTAAAAGGTAAGTTCACTTTCAAAGCTGTTGTAGAAGGCCTACTGTTGGAGGCATTTACATAGTGGAAGTAGAGAAAAGGAAGAGAATGTTCCTAATGGTCTGACAATTGCTTCATCCTTTTCAGCATCCATTATGCTTTCTCTTTTAATAGCGATGAATGTTTCCTAATGATAGGGGAGGGTATTTAGACACTTTTTGAAATCTAGTTTTATTACTGGGCAAGTAATTCTGACAAACATTAACAAATTCTTGTCATTTTAGTGGGGTTTCAAAACAAGATTAGATTTTTAAAAATTGAGGTAAAATGAACATAACATAAAAAATACCATCTTAACCATTTTTAAGTGTACAGTTCAGTGACATTGAGCACATTCACACTGTTGTGCTGTGTTCACCAAGGGTTATTTCTTTTAATATGGGAAGAACTTCTTGAAGACATTTGAGTAACATGCAGGGGCCTCAGGTGCAAGTTGCTGGTCGCTTGAATAACGTAAATTGTGTACTGCCTGAACTGAAATTTTTCACAGTCTTTAAAAATTTAACTATTTGAAAATATACTTTATATTTATTTTTATTTACTAGACGTTTTTGCAATGAAGACATATTGCACATTTAAGTAGAGTTACACATTTACTGGGGACCAGAAGAGTAGTCATTTTTACTAAGCATATCATGGTTGTAGCTCACAACTTTATTACGTTTCTGAGCATGTTAAAACATCAAACAACAGTACATTCATTGTGCTCTATGAAATAATAATTAAACTTATAATTCCATTTTGAACAACCTTCATGCATTTCCAAGATTTTTGCCTTTTTCCTAAATATCTGCTCCCTGAGCTCCACTCTGGCCTAAGGCGGCCATGGTACCAAGGCCTTGAAGCCTTGGGCCGTGTTTCCTGATGAGTATTTGATGGAGTTACAAAATTACAAATTAATAGTATTTAGTAAAGTTGAACCAGGGGAAGGGGGTAGAATTGGTTAAATTTCATACTCAGTAACACCATAACTGGGAAACTCTGGATTAAATAGAACTAAATAGTATACTTTATTGCAGTGTTTTTTGGGAATCCAATATGTGGTAATTTGTGAATTTCTAGGAGGAAGATAAGAGTACATAATGAGTATCAAATTGTTTAACTAAGATTTCCTTTTTGTGAGGAATGTTTTGGAAAAACTAGTGTCTCAAGGAATAGTTTTTGTCAAAAACAGAGACAAGTGTCTACTTAAGTGAGCACTCAGAAGCATCCCTGGTCTGGATGCCCTGATCACACAATTTCATGGTTTTTCTAGTCATTGCCTGAGACAATTCTAAGCAAGGCCTGTGTTACTTTATAGTTTCCCATGAATCCTCTGTAAGACAGTACACATTTCTCAAAAGGGTCTTTGGAAATACAAATCAAAATGTTGATGAAGCTTTTAGAGAAATTGGCCTTTCTTGCCTGTCCAATTAATATGAGAAATTAATTTTTAGAATGTTAAGGACAATTAGGAAGTTGTAAAATCCATTGTGTTCTTTTAAAATTGAAGTTTATAAAAGTTTCACAGAAATAGGTGTTTTAAAATGAAAGACCAAAATTTTGCTAACATCTGGGCATTTTATAGAAGTTGTACATACTCTATTTTGAATAACCTGTGGGGTTTGCTTAAATGCAGTAAAATTCCAAAGAGAGAATGTTGAGCATACACTCGATTAAATCCATTTTGAGAATCAGTAAATGGTTGCTGGCATGTCATGACTGAAGTGTCAGGATTCTAATAATGCTAGAGTTATCTAAGTATTTTTGGCTACTGATTTTTATGTTATTTATTGACTAAAATATTGAACGTTAATTATCCCACAGCTCTCCACAAACACACATCTACACATAGACCTATCTATGTTTTCGAGAGTTTCTTTTAGAATTATATACTTAAGACATCTTCTGTTAAAATTTCAAATTTTTACAAATAGATGTATACACTATGGTCAGTAATGAGAAAAATCTTTCTCAAATAGATACCTGTAGTTCAACATGATTTTTATAGACATCTATTTAAATTTAAAAATTAAGAAATGGGGAAATAAATCTAATCTCAATTTGTCAGGCTAAAATGCAGACTCTATTCATGCCTTGGAATACTTATCCTAGCTATATTATGTGTTGGATAACCAAGCAAAACAAAGGGGCAACAATTGTGGAGTAGAGAACCATATGCTAGCGATCACAGAAGTGCAGGATTAGACTAAAACTTCTCCAGTCCTTTTGGTTCATAAGCAAGAAAACTGAGACTCAGAGAATTAGGTCCTACTGTAAAAAAATCACAGAACCAAAATTTCTTCATCTGTTACCTCTTTTCTCTTATGTCTCTCATCTTACGTCTTTTGATTGTTTCTTTTTTGTTTTTGACTTTTATTTTTGCTTCAGGGGTGCATGTGTAGGTTTGTTATTTGGGTAAACTCATGCCGCAGTGGTTTGTTGTACAGATTGTTCTCTCACCCAGGTACTAAGCCAAGTACCCCGTAGTTATTTTTTCTGCTTCTCTTCTTCCTCCCATCCTCCACCCTGAAGTAGGCCCCAATTGGTCCCCTCTCTGTGTCCGTGAGTTCTCATCATTTAGCTTCCACTTATGAAAAAAAGCTCAATATCACTGATTATTAGAGAAATGCAAGTCAAAACCACAGTGAGATACCATCTCACATGAATCAGAATGACTAGTATTAAAAAGTCAAAAAGTAACAGATGATGGCAAGGTTGCAGAAAAAAAGGGAACACTTATACACTGTTGGTATAAGTGTAACTTAGTTCAACCGTTGTGGAAGGCAATATGGCAATTTCTCAAAGAGCTAAGAACTACCATTTAATAAGCAATGCCATTACTGAGTGTAGACCCAAAGGAGTACAAATCATTCTACCATAAAGACAAACGGATGCATGTTCATTGCAGCGTGATTCCCCTTTCTGAGACATTCTTTTGACAAGGAGGGTCATTGAGTCTTACTTTACAGGAATCTCTTTGAATTCCAGTTTTAATGTTACAGACTTTTCAAACTTGAGTTGTTATCATTTATTTGATATCCAAACTGTATATGATAGAAGTTGTTAAATACAAATATAAGAAATTAAAGCTAATGAGAGGTTCATGGTCCGGTAATGATTTCATCCTCATTTAAGGAAAGTAAGTATTAGTCATTTTTATATCTTATTTGGCATCTGTTATTCAAACTTTATATTTTAAACACTATTCCACTATTTTGTCAACAGATTTTAAGAATATCTTTAGCTGACACAGCTTAACAGTTTCTGTAATGAATAACAAACACAATTCTCAGAATTAACACACATAAACATGACTTTTTTTTTTAAGTTCATTATTTAAGTGCCAAATTAACCTCTGAGAAGCATTATTGGTCAGTATCTCATTTGTAGCCATAAGGAACAGTAGCGTTCATTTTACTTTTTGTTGTTGTTCATTAGTTTAAGAATCCTTGTGATAGGAACACCAGAAAGTATCAATGAGTTTATTCTCCTTAAATTTGACCAACCGAGTTTACTGGATTATATTTTACTTACTCAATAAATAATTCCTTGAATAAATTATTTCTTGAATAAATAATTACTTGAATAAATTATTTCTTGCATAAATTATTCCTTGAATATGACATATTCAAGGAAATTTAAGATGATTAAATAGAAATGAATGATCTGGATATGTGTCTTTCTAAAATGGTGTTTCTCAAACTTGATTGGAAGGTAGAAGATCTGAATATTATGGTACTCAAGATGGAACATAAATTATTAAAATATTTAATAATATATGAGCTGAAATCAATATTTCTTAGGTAAACTATATTATATGCATATTATATAAAAATCTAAAACATGCATATATAGGATCACAAAGATTTTCTTAACTCGAGTTAGATGCAATCACTTTTCTGAGAAATTTCATCAATATATTTTATATTACTTGGACATTCACTTTAACAGGCACAATAATTATTCGGCATCAATTTTTTTTAAAGAAACTCTTATTGGTGAAAATGTTAAATAAGAAAATCTAATCAAATGTGAACTTGAAGAAAGATTGGTCATATTCAACTAAGCAATAAAACTCTTTTCCCAAGTTGCATAGTTTGAGGACTATTAATTCAAAGTCTACATTATAGATTATTGATTGAAAGGTAAACATGGCATCTGTTTTTTAATCTATATACATATAATTTTTTTAAATAAACGACTTTATGCAATAATATACTTTCTAAAAATAAACGTGTGTTAAATGTAGGACATTTATTTTAAATATATGGTTTTATAATACATTTTCTTTGTGATAAGGTATGTGTTTAGAGTTATAACTGAGGCTGGGTGTGGTGACTCACGCCTGTAATGCCAGCACTTTGGGAGACAAAGACAGGCAGATCACAAAGTCAGGAGATCGAGACCATCCTGGCCAACATGTCAAAACCCCGTCTCTACTCAAAATACAGAAATTAGCTGGGTGTGGTGGTGTGTGCCTGTAATCCCAGCTACTCAGGAGGCTGAGGCAGGAGAATTGCTTGTACCTGGGAGGCAGAGATTGCAGTGAGCTGACATCATACCACTGCACTCTAGTCTGGCGACAGAGCAAGACTCCATTTTTAAAAAAAGGAGTTATAACTGAAACATTACTACATTATTATCAGGGTGAATCATCTACACTTGAGAAATCAATAGCCAGCTATTTACAAAGGCTAAATAAATCTAATATTTATTAGATCCTCATCATTTGATTTGACAATATCAATTCACTAGGTGACATCATGTTTTTTCCCACTCTAGTTATTTGAAAGAACCTGTTATGACAAATTAATCTTATTGAGAGTTTTTCTTCTTTTTCCTTTGTCTTCTTGGTCTATTCTGGCATGAATTTATTGATATTTTTCTTTTGGATGTTTTATACTGATTTCTTTCCTCTTCTTCTTTGTAAACCACAAGAGTATTTTGTATTTTCTAACTCACACAGTTGGTACAAAAACCAAATTCTTTGTTTGTGAGAGAATACTTCTTAAGCACTAAAGCAAGCTTGACCAACCCATGGTCCAGAACAGATTTGAATCCAGTCCAACACAAATTCATAAACTTTCTTAAAACATTATGAGATTTTTTTTTTTTAGCTCATTAGCTATCATCAGTGTTAGTGTATTTTATGTGTGGCCCAAGACAATTCTTCTTCTTCCAGTGTGGTCCAATTAAGCCAAAAGATCGGACACCCCCGCAATAAGGTGTTATGTATGTTCTTGTTATTATCCTTTTTTTGATGATTTAATCAGGTAAAATGCAGTGAATTAATTGGCTCCAGTGTATGAATAAAGATGGTTTACAGATTTTTCCTCAAACTGATTATGCACATTTATCTTTGGGTGATAATAATAATTACATAATTGACTAATGACATGTATCAAGTTAGTAGTATATACCAGACAGTACAGTAAGTATGTTTACAACATTTTACTTAATCTTCACAATAACTATTTGGTAGATATGATTAACTGATTTTCCTTTTTAATAGTTGAATCTAATAACTTGCTTGGATCATATGGCTCCTAAGTGGAGCAGAACTCAGGTTTTCCTCCTTCCAGAGGCCACTTTCTTGACTATAGTTTGCATGCAATTATAAAATACTACCATCTAGGATTAAAGTCTATACCTGTAAGTTTGGGAAAGTAATAAAATTTTGATAAATCCAAATCAGAATGAGTTCATATTCCAGATGCTCATCAAGACACACACAGATAGTCACATTTTCAACCACCTTTATTTGTGGTGCATAAAAAGACTTGTGAGTGCATTTCGTCTTTTGGCTGTTTTCTTTTGACATGTGTATAAACAGTGGTTAAACCAACAGTATCTCTGAGTGACCTTTACTTTAACCAAATAACATTCATATTAATTCCATCTGTACCGTGTTCTCTGCCAACTCCCAATCAGATTCTTAAAAATCAGAATGGAAAAAAAAAAAAAAAAACGCTTTTAGTTAACCTGACCATAGTCTTGCATACTTTTATTCTTAGCTTCACAGCAATATTTTGAAGTACATTTTGTCCCCAGTTACCTGTCCAGTTAATGTCAGATCTATGGTATAGACATTCTTTGCTGGTTTTCTTTTCACATTGTGTAGAATGTAATACTCCATTCCTCAGTATTCACAGTGATTGTTACATTATTCACTTGAAAACATTTGATAATGGCTCTTTATAGCAAAAGATCTATCTTTTCTATCATACCTAGTCAACCTTTGTGTCTATATCTCTTCCACTCTGTGCCCTCAGCCACATGGGAGAACGTGACCTAGTCCTGAACTCACCACACCTCCATACATTTTCTCTGCTTGCAATACTCTTTATTTTGTGCATGGCCAAGTTATTCATCCTTGAAAGTTCCTTCAGAGTTTTACGGACCCCTCAACTCCCTACCCAAAATTGTACAGAAACTTTCTTTTAAGGCTTCTATAGCACAGGAGCTAGTTCATAATGGGAGAAAAGCAAATGATTTATAAAATTGTCAACTGCATTAAAAATGAATTACAGACTGATGTACCTGTCAGGAGGCCTATTCTCTCTTACACAATTTAAAGCTCCTTGTTTAAATTTCAAATGCCCACTCCCCTTGTGGCTATAATTGACTTGGACTAGCAATAGCCAAATGAACATATGTGAATGGTAGATGCCAAATAATGCAATTTTATTGAAATATGAATGTGGCTTTTTTGTTGGTGGAAGAATGTGCTGCTCTTCTGCCAGGCAAAATAGCTATAAAGTGGAAAAATCAGGTTTTTAATGAATCCATTGAGAGTAACTTGAGTTATTTTTTAATGTAAGGGCAAATAAACTTTTGAGCAGAGTTGCATAACCATGTAGTATTCTTTTAATTTATAGCTAGGCCAAATTCAAATCCTGGTTTTAGCTAAATTAGAGTGCTCCCAAAAGAGAAAACGATTAGATAATACAAGTAGGCTTTTGTTGTTCTCTTCTTCCAAAATATAGCTCACGGTCTAAGGGGACTAGAATTCCATTTTCAATTCAAGACAAGTAAACATGTCTCCACATATTCATGAGACTCACTGAACAACTTGACTTTGTTGTTCTGTTTTCTTTAGCACATATCCGCAGTAAGAGTGTCACTCTTTCATAGTCCATTGCGAAGTAGTGTAGAATAAAGGCAGACACCTCTTCTTTCTCCCGTTTTGGCCACATCTTCCAGCTCCATTTTAAGACTTCAATTTTGACAACTTTTTCCCTTAATCTACCAATCGAATCATTTGAAATATAACTCATCCATAGGAATTAGATGGGTAGCAAAGAAAGAACCTCTATATTGGGAAAAAAGTAATTGTAATGTGCATTATGTAAAGGCCAAGACATTGCAGACAACAGAGGTATTTGGTGCATGTCACTGTTAGTAGCCGTTGTTCTCCTTGAGGGCCATTATACTTCATACTGTTTTTCTTCACAACAGGCTGAAGAATTTTACAGACACATGACTTTGAATCCAATATAGGTCCTATACCAATTGAGTGGTCCTGGCTACTAGTTTAACACGTCTGTCTCAGGAAGGGAATAATCATTTTCTATCTACCTTACAGGTTAATGTGAACATTTTCATATTATGATTATTAAGCAGTACAGATTGTCTGGGTAATTATATATGAATCCGGTGGAGGCATTTTGTAAATCCTTTGCCTCAGGCTTGGACTCAGGAAACCTTAGCTTCCATCCCAGCTCTACCTCTGGTCAGCTGTGTGAGCCAAGCACAACACTTAATCTTTTGAATTTCATTTATTCATCTGGACAGAGAGGAAAAAAATTTTGTCGCTCGAAGTTATAGCGGTTTAAATGAAAACAAAAACCCATCATCTGGAATATATAGGTGATAAATATAAGTTGAATCTGAACTGTAGAATACAAGTTTTCCACCTATTAATAGTAATACCATTAGCAATAACTGTAAGGCATACAGACTTTGCATTCTTAATATTGGGGCTCAGAATGTAATAACCCAAAAGATGATACCTTAGTGTGCTGATTATTTTAAGTTGAAGGAACCTAAAAAAAATCACAGAAGCAGGAAGTTACTCTCCGACCTCCCTCCCTTCTCCCCTGAAGACCCTAATGTGATAGGTGTTCTGCCCTGAATCCAAAGAGAAGAAGTGTCACACTTCTCAGAGAGGCTAAGATCTGGACAGACAGACCTTGCTATGTTCCTTCCAGTTTTTTACCATAAGATCATACACTTTCACTCTCCAATCATACTTCTTTTGTACAACTATTCATAAAATACACAGTTTTTGGCTCTTCATTTCTGATGGCTTCTATGTCATGTAGAGCTATGGTTAAATAAATTTGTTATGTTTTCTTTTGTTAATTTGTTTTTCATTACAAAGGTCTCAGCTATGAATCTTGTGATGAGTTGAAGAGAAGAAAAGATGTTACTTTATCTCCCCTTCATTGCTGAGTGCAGAAAGCTGGTCTAAGCACTGGATGTTACAGTTCTCCCATCTGTGGTGTGTATTTATATTTCAGAAGCAAAGTAAAAGAAATCCACATTTTTAGGATTGTCAAAGAAACTTACCCAAACAGCTG